GGTGGGGAGCTCGGGCTCCTAGTAGGGCGGTCTGGAGTTCGGGCTCAGTAGTGAGCTTGGACTTGCTTTCGGTGTTTGCTTCGGGCGCTCTACTGTCCCGAGTTGCTTGTTTTTGCCACGTGTCGGGTGATTGCGAGATTGGGCCAAATTCCCCTTCATCACAAGGAATACTGTAGCAAATTTGGTGCGTCACCAGGTGAAAACCTTTATTGCTAGAAGAATATAGGAGCCCTAGCTGATTATGCTTTTTTTTTTTTGTGTTGATGAATGGGGTTCTTTCCGGAAATAAAAGAGTGTTATATGTATAAAATGGCTCACCATAAAAGCGATCTTTAGCTTTCTCTTTCTCCACCACCCCTTCTTCATCTTCTCTTCTTTCTGTTAGGTAGACAGAGAATGATCACCCAATCAAACAAATTCCAGTTCTTTTTGCAGAAGAAAGAGCTCAATGGTTTTGTGTGGAAGCTTCTCTGTTTTTCATTTTCAGCACAGTTGTACAGTTGTACGTATACAGAGCTTTTACAGAAGAAGATAAGGATGTAGATGTAGAACTGTGTACAATTTGGAGGTTGTTTAGAACATGAATGCCTTTTGTTTTCATTCGATTTTGAAATGGCCACATACTTTGGGCCAAGTTGAGTATTTTTTTTGGTCTTCTTGCTTACATTTTCTGCTTCCTCTGCAAAGGGGGTCCATGCTCCATCAATGACAAAAGGAGCAAGGGTTTGGACCAAAGGAGCAAGGGTTTGGACCCACGGGTTGGGTTGGAACTTGGAAGGACTGACCAATGGGCCTCTTGGTCTGAGTGGGTTGTTCAATAATGGATGGAGAGCAGCAATTCTGATACGTGGGGTTAAAAGTAAGGTTTTTTAAACCAAACCGGACAACGAACCCATCAGGGGTCTGGTCCCGGGTCAAATGGTCTGACCGTTTGAACAAACAGATGACCCATTCTGACAAAAATTAAAAAAAATAAAATAAAATACAGCCAAAACTATTAGACGATTCAAACAGTTTGATCTTCTGGGATCAAGTCAATGGTTTTTGATAAAATAACAGTTCTAGGGTAAAACGGAATTGATCACCTGACCGATTTTCGGTTTTTCCGGTCTGGTCCGAATTTGAAAACCATGGTTAAAATAGACAAGGAACCCCTGGGTGAGAACTAGGCCCGTTCAAAGATGACCTTGTTGAGCCCCATTTAGTCTTGGTCTATTTGCAACCATTCTTCCAACCACTATGGGGTAGTGGTAAAAGAGATAATCAATAGTTTTCGGCTCACCATTGCACCGTTGCATAGCCTGCAAGTTGGTCCACATTTTGGAATCATTTAGCTATTTTTGCACTAACCAGAATTGCACTCATAAGGCATTTCAAACAAACATCTTCTATGAAGTATAATATTCTTTGGGACCTCCCATGAGTTTTCACTCTCTCAAAAACCTCCCTGTAGTATTGAAAAAAACTTGCAGATACTTTCCTTTTCTCACGGATGGAAAACATAGGCGCAATGCATTAGTTTTTCAAAAGTACCTATTTTACTCTTGTATCTATCAATTTAGATGAAAATTTAATAAAGTACTCCCAAAAGAATTTTTCATTTTTAGTTGAAAAAGATTTTGAGTCAGATTGAAAAGAATAAAGTAATTTTATTCTATATAAACGTTAGGTTTAATGAAGTTAGATGCCCAAAGTTATAAGGGTAATTTTATAAATTTGAAGTCTTCATTACTGGAACGATGATGGAAGGGAGGTAAATACACAGAAAAGAATTATATAAAAGTGAAACCTCAGGGGAAGATTTTATGATTGTCAGAAACTTAAGAGGAGGATTTTATATTTTATCCTATTCTTTATATTCCCAAAGGCCTTGACACACACCCACATAACCTACATAGCCAGCGACCATTCTGAGATATATTGGAAAACGACTTTAGCCTGAGTTACAAGTGAATTTGTCATGAGCTGTATACCTCCACATTACTGTGTCCTCGTCCAAATTTTAAAAAACCGGCAGCCTTATGCATTTAATCGTGCTAATTATGTAAGGGTATATTTGGTGTGTAATCCGAATTGGAATCTGAATGGTCATTTCCTATAATTTATCTGGTTCAAAAAGGAAATGTAATAACAATTAGAATTAGCCGGAGTGGTATTTCATTTCCAAAGGGAGGGGAGGGAATGTCCATTTCTTCAAATGGGGAAATGTCATTTCATTAAGAATGAGAATAAGATTCTGTTTCCGCTCTGTCAAATAAATAGAATTAGAATGTTTCATTCTGATTCTGACTCCAAACCCTATTCTTGTGAATTGAACGGGACCTAAGCAATTGATCAAGGATCGTGGTTTTTTAAACCGACCCAGCGACCGAACCGATTAGGGGTCCGGTTATCGGGTTAAACGGTCCAACAATTGACTAATACTTCTCTTACCGGGTCGAACGGTTACTGAGTTGAAAATTGACTAAGGCTACCCCTGACAATTCACTAATTCTTCCCTTAGTGTTAATCCATTAACAGAAACACTAAAAAGACTATTTTACCTTTTATATTTCTTCAGATTTTCAAAACAAAACAACTTAACCATGCAAAGGAATCCCATATTGTGTTTCGATGGAGTCGAATCAAAACTAAAATTACAGAATAATTTACTGAAAGACCCGAGAACAGAGAGGGAGGTCTGATAAGGGAGGTTGAGAGGGACCGGAGAACGAAAGTTGGGAGAGAGAGAGAGACAGAGGCGGAGGAGGAGGTCTGAGAACAGAGAAAGGAGAGAGAGACCAGAGGCAGAGGGGGAGGTCTGAGATGAAGGCTTGAAAGCGTGACTTTTGATGACGCTCTAGGAGAGGACGATTGAAGTGGGTGACCGTGGGAAGGTATGCCTGTTCACTGTGCGGATTTAACGAAAAACTGTACGGACCATTTCATCGATTTCGCTTTGTAATCACTCTTAGTTCCCATTCTTCATTTTTTATTTCATGCGCATGCGACCAATGATTTGCCAGCCATTTAGGCTGTTTTGGAATCTCGCCGGACTCTGGATGCTTGCATTCCAAATTCAAACGGGTCTTCGTCGATCTACTTATTGTGCCGGTAGTTTCCAAGAAACAGTGGTCTGTTTTGATCAACCAAAAATCCTCTCAACCAAAAATCTTCTCCAGCATCTCATCTCACTGCTGACAACCAAAAATCCTCTCAAACCCAATTGCAGAACAACAACCATAACATCGGAAGCCAAAAAAAATGGCTAACTGTGAGCATCAGGCCGTCAGCAAAGCATGGCAACTCTTTGAACTACCAGTCTCCTGTGCTCTTCCTCCGCGTCATCATCTTCACGACGAAGAAGAGTATCGGCTACTCTTAATACCCCAAAACTCCAACCGAGTTCTCTTTCTTTTCCAAAGATCCGGACTACGGACTTGGTTGAGGAATTGAAGTTGAGAAGTGGATACACAACAGCCACAACCATTACCCAGACAGAAACGAAGACTTTTGACACTAAGTTGCTACCAAAATCACGAGAGATGATCTTGATGTTAACTCCAAGTCTACGGTCATTGTGGAGCTTTATGCAATCATGGTAGCTGCTGCAGACAGGGCGGAGATGCATGCCAACATCCAGGAGCAGCGGAATAACTGGAACCACCTCCTTCTCACCTCCATCAATACAATCACCATAACCGCTGCAACGATGGTCGGGCCGGCAGAAACAGCTGGAACGGGAGCGCCACTTGCCGCACTAAAGCTCTCATCTACTCTATTATATACGGCAGCTATTGGGATGTTGCCGGTGATGAGCAAGATTCAGCCATCGCAACTCGTAGAAGAACAACGCAATGCGGCAAGGCTATTCAAGCAACTTCACGGGCAAATCCGAACAACTCTTACACTTGGTAGTCCTAGTCCTATGGATGTAAAATTGTTAAGGACGCCATGGACAAGGTGTTTGCTCTTGACAGGGCTTACCCATTGCCCTTGCTTGGAGTGATGCTTGACAAGTTCCCTAAAGCCGTGGAGCCTGCCGTGTGGTGGCCACAACAAAGTAAATTACGAGAACAAGACTTGGGTGGAAGAAGAGAAGGAAATGGATGGAACAGAAAGCTGGAAAGAGGAAATGAAGCAGATAGTTGCGGTTTTGAAGAGGAAGGACATTGAAGAGTACTTGAGACTGGGCAAGATAGCTTTGAAAGTTAACAGAGTTTTAGCCATTTCTGGTCCTTTACACACAGGTCTCGCAGCTGTTGGGTCACAGGACGAAGAGCACGGTGAAGTGATGGATCGAAGGAATTGATGCGTTGAACTTAAAAATACATCAAACTTCCGGTTGATGAAAATAGGGTTGATGAGATAGCAGAAGACATGGCCAGTTCAAAATTAAGGTCTCCTACCTAATGGGTGGTCTAATCTAAAGTTTCACCATCTGGGCAGAAATATGTGGAATTGTGAAAGGAGACAGTCGATTAACCTATATTTAGGATTTTAGAACGATGAATTAGGGTAAAAACATCTCCACAATATCCCACAGCACATCCTTACCGTGTATTAAAAACATCTCCCGATGATAATACCAAAACTGATTATATTATCATCAGATGTTCTTAATACATGACGGGAATGTACTGTGAAACGTTGTGGGGCGCAGATGTGAATTCACCATTTTGGGCTTTTGGCACCGCGTCAGTCTATCCTAGGCATGCCATGATGATATTGGTGCTAATCAGTGTTCTAACTTGTAAGGCTCTTAGCAGATCGAATGATCGGACTCTGAAAATCAGGAACCAGTGACCTTTCTGGGTCCTGTTTAAATGACAGTTTTTATAGGTTAAATGGGCTTAAACATCCAATTACTCAGTGAAACCATGATCTGTTAAGCATTCTCGTTTTTCATCCAATCCGAGTATTACAACATTGAAGAAATTCTAAAATTATAATTCACTACCTGAAAAAAGTCTTAACATCATGGAATACTGTCAACAATATTCTTGTGCATAGCTATGCACTTACAATCGAAAAGTTGTTAAGATTCAGTTTGGAAAGAGTACAAATGCAAATATGTTCAGCGTAAATACATACAAAATATAAGGTTTTGCATTTTGTACTACTTCCAAACTCAACCTAAGGGTCAATTTGAATCAAAGAGGCAAAACAACTTACAAATGTTTAATAAATATAGGTCATAGTGAACTGATTAGCAATTTAATAGTACACTCATTTGTGTAACTGGTTCTTAGGGGTGCAACTTCGGCGGGGCCAATCCAAGTTTGGATTGATTCAGCCGGCAATTTTATATGGGTTGAGTTTGGATTTTTGGTCTTCAAGCTAAGTCTGAGTTTAAAAGTTTGAACTTTTTAATTTTTTTAAGTTGGGATAGGATTTAGTTCTTAGATAGCTCAAGCTCGACCTGATTGTAGTCTGACTATAAACAAGTATATATGCATATGCATATATAGACATATATTTGCATACACAATGCACATATTTTGTTCAATTTAATTTTTTTAGTCTAAAATATTTTATATTGTAAATTTAATTTTTTTTTAATTTCCTTTTAAAAAATATCGTTGTAATTTTTTAAGTTTAAATATTTTGAATTGACTGACCAAACCAAAAACTAATCCAAACTGATACTAATGTTTTCAACCCACCGTTGACTTGACTGGTTGAACCATTCAAACCATCACTTGACCTTGATTCTAGGTTTAGTTCTGTTGAAACCCACCATTCAGTAAAAAATTGTTTGATCCAAAAGGTTCAACTATTGACCCATTTGACCTAGTCACCGAGTTACAATTACACACTTAATGTATGTGCAAACTTATGGAGGCCATAACGTTGCACTGTTGTCACGGTCTGACACAGGCTTAGCCTTGTCTACGCTTGGTGGACTTACTTTAAGGGAGAACTACCCCCGTGACACTCTAGTGTTCGTTCGCTTGAGGTGATATTTTTTTGGATTTTGGGTAACCTTTTAAGACCTCTATGCTTTCCAAGGTGCTATGGACTCCTTGCCTCACTATTTTCATGAAAAACCCCTTTTTTGGCCTTGAATTGCAATTTTTCATATTTTACAAATAAAAAATAAATTAAAAACATCAATTAAATATAAAACAATACATGCATTATATATAAAACATAATTATATAATATTTATTGATAAAATGTGTATTTGCACACACATACACACACACAGAATGGTCTAACCCATTCAACCTAGATGGTCGAACTAGTGACCCGCAACTTAGAGGAGAAAGTAGTCAACCATATATAATATGTGTCTTAATTAGAAGTAGGGAAGTGGAGATTAGTTAAGAGTCTAAAAAATAAAACTTAGTTATTAGCAACATTTTAGGAATGAGGAAAGGTTTTGGGAATTAGGAGAGACGTTTATTAAGTAATTTTAAAATTTAAGTATAAGAGGAGAGAGAATAAGAGTGGGAAAATGAGAATTTAAGAGCAAAAAATTAGGAATTTTGAGAGGTTTAGGGAGAGGAGACATAGACGACCATGAGAACCTGGTTGACAAAAATTCTACTAAATGTTTTTTAAGGTTGTGTTTGGTTTGAAGGAAAAAGTAGGGAAAGGAAGGGCGTTTTCCTCCCCCAAAGTAGAGCAAAAAATTCTACCTTTTCCTTCAAACCATACATAGCCTAAGGGTAAATTTCTGAAACCTCCCCCAAAGTTTCTCATTATTGCTGAAGCCTCCCCTAAACTTTGGTAATTGCATTTACTTCCCTTGAGCTTTCTGACATAGTTGCAAGCAGACCCTTTCTAGTAGAAAGATGCACAAAAATTTCCAAAGTACCCATGTAATTACTGTCAAGGTTGGTTTATACCGAAAAATAATACAAACATTATAAAAATAAAAAATAGAGAATTTAATAAAGTTGTAACTTTACATTTGAGCGATTGATATGAAGGGCAAATTTGGAAAATAAATCAATTTTCAAAAAAGAGATTTGAAGGGTTTGGGCTAGCAATTCAAATGAAGAGAAACTCAAAGGGAGGTAATTGCAAGTACCAAACTTCAGTGGAGGTTTCAGCAACAACCAGAAACTTCAGGTAAGGTTTTACCAATTTACCCTTTTTTAATAATTAAAAAACCACAATAAATAGAGGAGAGAAAAAGAAGCAATAAATGAGGGAGAGATTGTAGGGATGTGGAGGGCAAGGGTGAGAGAAATATCATCTAATAAAGAGCCATCATTTATTAGAATTTCTTTGTTAGAAATATATGAATTGGGGACTTGGGAATGTGTGTGTGTGTAAGAGAGAGAGAGAGAGATGGGGTTATGAGAGCAATGGTTAAGGGGAGGTTTTAGGAGTGGAAGATATTTTAAGATGACTTTTAGGCAAATAATGAAGAAAAATAGGATAAAATAGAATTTTCTTTGATAAAAACCTAAAGGGGGTAGAGATAGAGGAAATAGGGGTGCTGAATTATTGATATGGCATTAAGGAGAGGGCTGGGAAGGGGTAAGAGAGAAAGAAGAGAGGTTTAGACTATGTTTGGTTTGTACAGGTTCCCCTATCTTTCCCTTCCTTTCCCTACTTTTTCCTTCAAACCAAACATAGCCTTATGGAGAGAAGAGAGAGGGGGGAATGAGAGGAGAGGGCTGCTGATGTGGGTCCAAATCGCTTTATAATATAGTATAAGTTTTTTTAATAAATCATACATATATATATATATATATATATATATATCTACATATACATGTATATCAACTTTTCCTATACATAGGCTGATTGATTAACCAAGTTCAATCTTAATACATCATATTTTAATAATATTTTAATATGGACTCGGTTCAGATTGGACAGTTCACACATTTTAGAGGTTTGGATGTAGTAGACATGTTAGGTAAGCACAATGAGTGAGCACATAATAGCTGTGTGACACATTGCCTTCCATTCAAATGTTTTTATTCCATTAGACAGAAATTATTCATTATTTTATTATCCGTCAAAATAATTAAAAATAAGAAACAATGAAAAAGAAAAACGTAAATGGTTCCCAACTCCCAACACGTTTTGGTTTCCTTTTTTCATTGTTTATATTTTTAATTATTTTGACAAAAATAATAAAATAATAGATAATTTTTATCTAATGTTTGGATAGAAAACACATTAACTGGGACATGTATCACACAGCTATTAGGTATTCACTCATTGCTTACCTAACGTTCTTAGTACATCCAGACCCACGTTTTAGGCCCAATTATTAAGATTGGACCTGACACCCCTATTGGATTCCATCTATTCTTATTGCAGATAAAACTTGGTTCAATCAATCTCGGTAGAGATAGCCCACAGGAAATACACCTCCATTCCTTTTGTTTTAAGTGCATGTACCTCTTTCAGTCTCTTGATTTTTCAATTAATTTTAATAGCAATTAAAAATAAAGAAAAAAGGAAAAAACGGTCGGAGCTCCTTCACACATATCCAAGCAATCGAGGTCTATTTGGATATCATCTAAAGAAAGTCAGCTGATCAAATAGTCAGAAATATATATGTAGAAACATGTGCATATAATTAATATATGTAGAAACACGTTATGATGAAAGGGACTCATCTTTGCACATTTCATAAAAGAAAAAGAGAAAAATAAAAAAAAAAAACAAAAAACACATTGACTTTCAATCCACCCAAATCTACTTTGTCATTCCATATTCCAAAATCGACAGTCTATAGAAGTTTCTTATGATCTGATGATTTTTTTTTTTCAAAATAAGTTGCGTTATATTTAAGGCTCCAAATGTATCCGTTTGTCCAAATTAGAATTCAAATATAATTCGGTTAAGAGTGATCCGAGTTTGTTTATAATTGGAGTTGGATCGAATACGGATTCACCAAATATTTTATTTTTTTAAACAAAATTCGTTTGAATGCTATATTTATATTTTTCAAGTTGTTACTAAAATACCTCCTAGTTTTTTTGCATTTATACTAAAATTTACCTTATATAGTTTATTAATTTGCATAATCTTGTTTTATTGAAGGGAAAATCTATGATGCAGAAAAGATATGGTATGAGAAAAGCTTTAACCAATCAAAATCCACTCATGAATTTTGATAAATAACATCTGATTGGTTATCACGTTTACGATTCTAATTGATTGATCAAAAAATTTTCAGATATCATATAGTCGAACACAAATATAAATATGTACAATGCAAATATATACAAATTAAGTAATACAAAATATAAGGTTTTGCATTCTACATATTTATACTTGTACTCTTTCCAAACTGAATCTTAAGAACTGTTTGTATCATCGTCTAGAAATGATCACCCATCTGAACTCAATGAAAAATGTTCAAGGGTATGGGCTCATGGTTGTTATTTGTTTGTTGAGAAAGTATTTCTATCAAAGTATCCTCACTTCATATCAAGGTTTTAGAAAGAAAATTAATCCTGCATCCACACCAGAGTTTTGGTTGGAGAAAATGTAGAGTCCTTGTGATTATATTGAGGCTTCACGTTTCAGGTAAATGTAAAAAACGTATACCAAACTAGAGATGAAGAAGAGACGTCAATCATAGTGATTTACTCCTTCGATTCACATGATCCATGTTTGCAAAGTAACTATAATTGGCTTGCATCCATTAATTAGAACTTTAGCATCATTGTGGCTTCTCATGTTCAGCTTTGTATTAATCTGGTAAGAGAGTTGGTCCGCACTTTACCATGAGCAAGATTGATATTTGTTTTTTATATTCTTTTGTTTAAATTTCTTCAAATGGCCATAAGGATTAAAACCATTATTTACTAAAATGCAAACCATAAGTTTTAGTAAATATATACATGAAATTATAGGGATTGTTTTAGTAGATGATTCTATTTTTAGTTCATTTTGTTTATGATAATACAATATCAAAGTTACTTCTAATTCATCTTAGATTAATAAGTGGAAAAATGAGGGTTTTAATCTTCATGTCCGTTTGGACAAATTTGATGAAAACATGAGAAAATAAAATATGGAAATGCCATTCTTGTCCCTGGTAAAATGTGGACAAACTCTCTTACCACATTAAAAAAAAAGTGAACAAGAGATGGCAAAATGAGGTTAAAATTCTAATTGATGCAAGCCAATTATAGTTTGAAAACATGGATCACCTGAAGGAGAAAATCGCCATGAAAACATGGATCACAAGAGATGTCTATTATTGTTAGACAAAATATGGAGCTTAAATAATAGCACCAACTTAAAACGTGAAACCTCACCAATAAAGGTATTCTCCAACCAAATTCTGTTTGGGGAGGTTTTCTTCTTAAAAGCTTGATATGAAGTACTGTTGCGGGGGAAATCCACGATAACATATTCGAATGGCACTCAAAATGAAAGTAAAACACAGATAAAGAGAAATAAGCACAGAGAATACATAGATTTGTGTGGTTCGGCTTATAGTCTACATCCACGGGTGAAGGAGGAACAGAAATCCACTATGAAGTTGATAATGGAGAAGAAATACAGAATTGTGCTCTCACAGAAAACCCTAAGCCCCAAATACACATAATGTCCCACTTGTTTCTCACAAGACTCAAACTCTATGTACAAGAGAGAAGCGGGTTGCCACAAACTCAGACTCTATGTACCCAAAAAAAATTAATTCGAAGTGTATTCATGAAACGGATCGCCGCAAAGAATTCAAAGCACAAACAATATTAAATATACTTTTAAGGTAAACCAAGAGCCTATATACACCCTTGAACATGTTTCGCTCAGTTTAAATGGTCATGTGACCATTTTCAGATGGAAACCTTTGATGGAAATCAATAGAAGGTGCTTTAGTAAATGGCTCTATTAATAATATATAATATTTTACTGCTTCTCAATTTATCTTATTAATGCCATTCAATATCTTATCGCAACTTGAAATCAATTTGATTTTTCAAGCTCAAATATAAGGCTCCGATTGGAAGGTCTCCAAATCTCCTACCCACAAAGCATTACAGCCGTGCATTGGAATATCTCCCGTGTATAATAGCATACAAGAAAAGGAAATGCTCCCTATTTTCAAATCTGAGCTGATTTGGGAATATGGACAGTGCAAATACATACAAGGTTTTGCAATCTATATATTTCTGTATTTCCCTCCAAACCTAGCCTTGAATCAAATTTGGATCTACCCACATATCTAAGGGAGAAAATCCATTACCCAGTTGCTTGTTGATTTGAACTGCAAGAACAATCAGGACAATTAATTAATGAATTCTGGAATTGACATTGACTTTAGACTTTTGAGACAATAAATTACACCTTGCTGCACTGAGCTTTGAAATCACATTTCTTGTTTGGACAAGTTGGAACGAAGCGTGTTCATGTTGCAAAGTCGTTATTATCTTCACTAAACCCAGAGAACCCGGGAAGGCGGCCAGGGAACTATCTCTATAAATACTTCCCCTTTGCACCAGACTCTCCACACCAATTTTCTTCTTTCGTTAATTCTTTTTCATCTATGGCTACTCACAGAAGGATAGCCTTCATTGTCCTTGTGGCCGGAATTCTGGCCGGGCTTCCGCCGGAAGCTGTAGTGGGTCAGAACTGTGGTTGTGACCCAAACCTCTGCTGTAGCCAATGGGGATATTGTGGTACAGGGTCCGATTACTGTGGTGCTGGATGCCAAGCGGGTCCTTGCGACAGTGGTAGTGGCGGTGTTTCAGTGGCTGACGTCGTGACACAGAGCTTCTTTGACGGGATAATTAATCAGGCAGACTCCGGTTGCGCTGGCAAGAGTTTTTACACCAGGGATGCTTTCCTTAACGCTCTTAATTCCTATCCTAGCTTTGGCCAAGATGGGACCTCCGATGTCTCGAAGCGTGAAATCGCAGCCTTCTTTGCCCATGTCACGCATGAGACTGGACGTAAGTTCTCTATTCAACTCACTCGGTAAATTTATCGAACAGCTCGGAGATTGATTAATAACTAATCAGAAATGAACTGGATTGTGAATTTTATTGCGTGTGACTAACTAGCAGACTATATAGAATGCTTCAGTAACGTGGAGACTTTTCTGTGTGTACAGACTTCTGCTACATAGAAGAGATTGATGGTGCGTCGAAGGATTACTGCGACGAGACGAATACACAGTACCCATGCGTTCCAGGAAAAGGGTATTACGGCCGTGGGCCGATTCAACTATCGTGGAATTACAACTACGGGGCTGCCGGAAACGATATCGGATTCGACGGGCTGAATTATCCGGAGACGGTGGCCAATGACGTCGTGGTGTCTTTCAAGACAGCCTTCTGGTTTTGGATGAACAATGTCCATTCGATTATGACTTCCGGACAAGGGTTCGGCGCAACGATCCGAGCCATCAATGGAATGGAATGTGATGGCGGAAACCCAGATGCTGTTCAGGCTCGCGTTGGGTATTACACAGACTACTGTAATCAATTTGGTGTGTCAACGGGTGACAACCTTTCTTGCTAGAATCACTGTAATTCTCTTCATGAAATAAAAGGATACAATTGACAGAGTTGTATCTGACTATCTGCTGGCTGGTTTTTGTTGTATTAAGAAAAATGAATTAAAAAAAAAAGAAATAAAAGGGTTTCTTCATTCTTGGCCCCCTAATTTTGTTTGGGTAAATTTCGAAAATTTCAATGGGTAAATTACGAAAACCCCCTTACTATTAGAGTGCGTTACTTTTACAACCTAAATTAGCCTAACATATAACTAAAAACTTTAACTACAAAAGAAAATGACTGAATTAGACCAACATATAAGCCTTTCATCACTAGTGCCATGATCGGGTTGGATTTGGGTCGGATTAAGCAATATATATTAATCAAATCTAACTACTTAAGTCTTAAATATGAATCTAATTGGCAATCTAATTGAATTTTAAATTTCATATATATATATATATCATATATTCATATTGATCAAATATTATAGGACTTAGATCAGAGTCGAATTTAATCCTCTTCCTCTTTATATTTTTAAAATATATAAAAAATAAAAATTAATCACTTTTAAATAAAAATATATAATAAATTAATATAAATATGAAATATTGAATTTATTATATACATACATATAATATGATATATAATTATAAATTTTTATGTTTATGTGTAACTATATGAATTTAAATTATATATTTTTATGTTTATATGTAACCATATAAATTTGATATATTAAATTAAATATATATAATGGTCAAACTCAAATTTAATCAAATTGGATGGGGTTAAATTTGCATCTTATTGGATGCAAATTGTAAATCGGATCTTGTAGACAAATCATTCAAGTCTAAGATAATCAGATAAAAAGGACAAATTCGGTATTGGACTTTTGGAGCCCGGCATATTCACCGGCAAAGAGTAGAAAACAAGCCCATTTCTCCTAAAATGTCAAATTAGAAAACTAAGGGCAAATACGTCTATAATGGTAACATAGGCATTTTGAAAAATTTAATAAGTCATATGATGTGCACATGAAAGCCAATGGAGGAACTTTTTCTGATACACTTGTGAGGTATTTGCAACTTGGGCTCAATTTGAAAAGAGTATAAATACAAATATGTACAGTATAAATACATATAAAATAACACAAAATATAACGTTTTACACTTTATATATTTGCATTTGTACTCCTTCCAAACTGAGTCCAAAGAGTACAAATTTAAATATGTAGAGTGCAAAATTTTGTATTTTGTATAATTTTACTTGTATTTATATTGTACATATTTGCATTTGTACTAAGTCTGCAACTTGGGTCGGGTTGGCCTGAATCCAATCTTAACCCAACCCATAAAAGTTGGGTTGGGTTGGGTCGGGTTGATGTTCGAGTTAGGGTTAGGGTTGAAATTTATGAACCCGACTTTACTTCGGATTGGGTTAGGGTTGACCCCTTAGCCAACCCGAGCCAATTCGAACCCAACTCTATAGTACATGTAATATGTAATATATAATATACATTGATTTGTTTAGATGAATGATATTTGTATAGCCCCCACCACATATTATCATGTATTTCTTTTAAAATAATCACTTCACTTAATCCTAATCAGAAAGACTAAAACCTTAATAACATTATTTTATGTTTTTTTGAAAATTTTATTCTTCATCTTCTCTATGTTGTTTGCTGCCCAAGAAAAGTCATAATTCATAATAAACTATAGTCATTTCTAACACTTGTTTTTCTGAATTTTGTACTAAAAGAACAAAAAAAAATGTCAATAAACAAATATTAATAAAATATAAGATTAATATATGTAGTGAAAGTTGAATTAAGATCTAAAATCGATAAATTCTATGAGGTTTTAAGGGATGAGAAGAAGGTTGGGTTGGGTCCAACCCTAATCCGAAATTGACTTCGGATTGAGTTGGGTTAGATTAGGGTTGAAGGAATTTAGTTAGAGTTGGGTTGGTCAGGTTAAATTAGGGTTAGCATTAGGGTTTAGAACTTAGGATAAGACTAGGGTTGGCCTCAACTTAACCTAACCCGGCCCGACGTACAGCCCCATCGTACAGTTGAAGTGAATCTGGGTGAAGGAACGATGCCAAATACACGGGGGATGCTATATGTAGACTAGGCCTGGGATGTAATTTCCCAATTCTGAGGTGAACTGAACATTTATTCAACTTTTAATAGTTGAGGTAGTACAATGACACACCCTCTGGTAGGCTTCTTTTTGATTCTTTTAATCTCGCTTAACAAAACTTGTACATCACGTAACGTGGGTCCTCATTAGTACATTATAAATGAATTGAGTCTGACTATATCAGATTGGATAAGGGCAAGGATTTAAATTCCCCAATCTTTGGGGCATATTGGCTGATGCATATCGTATCTCGGGACCCTTCCAATACGCTCTCATACACAATGTTTCGGTCCCACCAATTTCAGGGGCTAGATGGGCCTTAAATTCACCTTCTTGAACCAGATTGAAAAAAATAATAATAAAAAAAAAGAAGGTAAGTTTTGATACAGGTCAATGTGCCCCTTTCGCATTCTATTGATCGAGGTGATCAAACCATTGATCCGTTCGACTTGAACAACAGTTTTTTACCTTTTTTTTTTTATTTTTTAAATTTGAAACAAACCATCCATTCAAACTAGACTGTCTCAAAATATGGTGGCCAAAGTGGTTCTAATTCCATATCATTTTTAAAACATTGATTTTGTGGACCATAATAGACTAAGATACCTACCAACCAGTCTACAACTTAAAGAATCTACTTACATATTTTGACCATCTAGACTCTTAGAAATTACCAAATGGCACCCAAGTATCTGTAGATCTATTTACCAACACATTATTGGTAAGGTTCATCCAAAGGCATTATATTATTACTATATTGAGATGGAATTCTCTTGATGTGTACCATTGCTAACTCAGAGCTGCAATGGTACAAAGATGACTTATGGTTCAGCTTTCGGTACAAGACTACAAGATGGTAATTCACAAAAATCTTTTCAAAGCTTGTGGCTCCGAAGATTATTTTTATTCTATACCTTGGCACTTCCAAGTGTGCAAATACAAACTGCAGGAAAAAGAAAAACGAAGAATAAAGCAATAAGAGAAAATACTCTTTTACTTTTTATTTTCTATTTTGGCAATTATTCTCTCTTATATCAGGGAACGTTTTTTTTATCATCTCGAAAATGTAACGAGTTTTCCAACCTGAAATGATCGACAATAAATACATTCATATAAACCTCAAAGCAAACCTGGGAAGAAGAATTACTGTAATTCTAGCAAGAGAGATTGTCACCCGGTGACACACCAAATTGATTACAGTAACCTGTGTAAAACCCAATGCGAGACTGAACTTTATCCGAAGCTCCTCCACTACATTCACCGCTATTGATTTTCTTGATCGTCGCCCCAAATCCTTGGCCGGAAGTAATGATTGAATGCACATTTTCCATCCAAAACCAAAGTGCTGCCTTGAAAGACACCACCACGTCAGTCGCCACCGTCTCCGGAGAACCCAAACCATCGAATTTGATGCTCTTTCCGGCACCTCCGTAGTTGTAATTCCAAGATAGCTGAAGTGGTCCGCGGCCGAAGTACTGTTTCCCTGGAGCGCACGGGTACTGCGTGTAGCTCGGGTCGCAGTAGTCCTTTCTGGTTTCTTCTTTCTCGTTTATGAAACAGAAATCTGCAGACGACCCAAAAGATTAAACTTAGGTTACTGAAAACTTCAATTTACTACTAATTAACATGCAAAACTCCCTGAGTTACTCAGTTGAACAGAAAAAGAACAGACAGTGAGAAGAGAAAACTCACATCCAGTCTCATGGGTGGCATGAGCAAAGAAGGCTGCAATTTCACGCTTGGAGTCGTCGGGCGTCCCCGTCTGGCCGAAGCCGGGATACGGAGCAAGGGCGTTGAGGAATGCATCCCGGGTATAGAAATTTTTTCCCTCGCAGTTAGCGGCTGCCTGACCGATTATCCCGTTAAAGAAATCAGGTGTCACAAGATCACCAACCGAAACACCGTTGCTAGTTACCGGAGTACATGGACCCTCTTGGCATCCAGAGCCACAGTAATCGTCGCCTAAGCCACAGTACCCATGCTTGCTGCAGCACTTGTCTGGGGCACAGCCACAGTTCTGACCCACAGTGGATTCCGGCAAAAGTCCGGCTAGAATTGCGGCCACGAGAAAAGTAAGGGCTGTGGTTTTGAGAGTGGCCATGGACGTAAGGAGAATGAAGTAAAAGAAACTGATGAGAAGATGTGTGGTTTTGGGTGGAGCAACACAATCAGGTAAGTGCAGAACTTATAGTTGGAGTTACTTAGTCAATGGTCAATAGTCAATATATAGAGAGACATACTATGTGGAAATTTGTAGAAGAAAGACTCAAATGGAAAAGTGACTTCCGTTGATTCGTTCATCACCATTACTACATTAACATTTCCATTGCTTATTTGACAATTTATATCAACATGGACGTGCCGTCTCCTCTTTCTCCATTGACGTGCCGTGCTCTAGTTGAAGACTCGAGAAAAGTTGGATTTTCTTTTTCTTCTTTTGATCACGGCCTAAATATTTATTGCCTAACAGTCATCATGGCGATAAAATACTTTTGGGTTAATAGTATATAAGGGCAATTTTGAGGATTAATATCAATAAAAGTAATATATTTAAAAAAATTTCAAAAACAGGTTTACTTTTAAAAAATAATATCAATAAAGGACAAAAATACTATTCATCTTCTTCTTGCCATTTGTTCACTAGAGCTGCTGTCTGCCACCGCCCACCACCACCCACCACTGCCGTCTACTGCCGCTTGCCTCTGCCTCCGCCTCCGGCAACGTTGCTGGAGGTGGCCAGAGGCAACAGTGGCGACAACGGTGTTGGTGGTCATTCTTCTACTCGCCGCTGCCGCCACCTCTATCTCCACCCATCTCTGGCAACGTTGCTGGAGGCGGAGAAGGAGGTGGGCGAAAGTGGCGGCATTGGGCAGAGAAACCACCAGCACCATTGTCGCCACCTTTGCCTCCGACCACCTCTAGCAACGTTGCCAGAGGCAAAGGCGGTGGTGGCGGGCGATGGTGGATAGCGGCGGACGACGGCTTTGGTGAACAAATGGCAAGAAAAAGAAGATGAACAGTATTTTTATCCTTTATTGATATTATTTTTAAAAAGTTAACTTATTTTTGAAAATTTTTTAAATATATTATATTGATATTAAACCCCAAAAGTTGCTTTCATATGCTAGAAACCCAATACTTTTCGCCGGTTATCCAAGAAAACAACAAAAAAACAATAATTTTTTTCGTGATTGAAATAAGAAAAAGATTATAGGCCGCGTTTGTTTGAGGTGGAAATTAAATTAAATTGGATAAATTTTATACCCCGATTTGATTTTACATTCATTTGGAAGGACTGTAATTGTACACCATAAATTGGTATAAAACTTCATTTTGATTTCTCTTTACATATACATCAAAATTATTGATGTAAAACCATCGGCTTCTATCATCGAAATAAAACTCCTCTCACCCTGACATTACTCTCCTCCATTCTCCGTCTGCTCCGTTTCAACCACTGTTTTTCACTCTTATCGGTGCCGCTGCGCCTCCGTTGAACATCTAGTACGAGACTCTCTCTCTCTCTCTCTCACTCAGAGATCTCTCTCTCATTCTCTATTCTTCACTCATCAGCCATGCACGAACATTCTCATCTTTGTGTTCATGTTTCCACTCTCTTGTGGCCTTCATTATCTTCTCGTCCATACGAATGTCTAATAAGCTGGACAAGGATTTCCTTCAGGAGGTAATTAACTCATGATTAACTTTGTACCAAATTAATTTATGTTTACTGATGTGGAGAATTGTTAACTCGCACTATTCCTGGATTTGGCAATTGTGTAGAGGATTTTGCATCGTGTCCTAGTGGCGTCCGGTTAAAGTTATTTCAAACCTAAATCCAACCTGCCAGTTGTTTGGAGAAATTCCCTAATGTGCTCTGGTGATTACTCATGTTAAACTGAGAATTTTGGGTCATCGCTAGCAATTGATGACTGTTGAAGACTGGATAAACCGGATTATCAACTTATTTTAGTAGTTTATAGAGGGGACTATTATTCCAGTTTAACGTTTTTGTTGGTCATGTCAAATTAGCTTTGCTGTGTGGTAATCGTTGATGGTGGATATGTGTGAAATTCATTTATTTTTTGTTGATTTTAGATTTCCGGGTTTGATTCCTCTCAATCACTTAGCAACATGTGGCTCCTAATGACACCTCGGTGCTGAATCAACAGTCCAACTCGGTAAGTAAGCTTGGAGCACCTCGCCAAGGCCGATCTCCACCTCGGCGTGGCCGAGTTGGTAGGATCGTAAGATTACGACAACCTGCCCTAGAAGCCGGTTGAGCTGAGAGGATCCAGGGCAACCTACGAAGAAGAGCTCGCTAACTGTCCCCGCTGTTCGCCACCAAATGATCTCTATGACAGGTTCTCTCAAGCGATAGGCTCCCCGAGTAGTTCGCCTTGACTTCACTTGAATGAACCATAACCCCCACGAATATCTCTCAACTAACATCTTAATGTGCCTAAAAATAGGGAAACAACTCCTCAAAGAGCTCAAGACTGTTACTTTGAGCCCCCTGAGTCTAGGGATCTATATAAGGCGTCCAGATCCACCCAGAAAGGTACATGCACTGATACTCTCAAGCTTCCTCACACTCTTAGAGAAACCCTCATACACTTACTGACTTAAGCATCGGAGTGCCCTCCCCGAGTAAAAGATACCCAGACACTCTCATCTCTCTCTGTTGTTTGCAGCACATTTTAGCTCGCACATCTCAGCGTCATCTCGGCTATCCTTTGGTTCAGCTTGGTCAGCCCGGTTGACATCCAATCAGAGTCTAAATCATAGTACATGAGGGAGTGTCTAGACTGTGCGACATCAGGAGCTATCCTTCCCGCTTCTTCCGGGAAGACCTCTTCTCCTTGTCGACTGACATCATGGAAGTCAAGCTCGCCATACCTACGGAAAGAGTAGAATAGTTAACCGAGCTGATAATAGAAGAAACACAAGATGTAGATGCATGTTCCAAAAACTAACCTACCTATACGACTCAATCCAGCCTGCGCGAGCATGTCCTCAGCTAAAACTCTCTCAACTTGGACCTCCTCATAGATAAACTCCTGAAGAGCAGCACACAACTCACCATCTCTACTCTTGGCAATTTTTTGACAGTTACTATACCAGACGGTGTCCAAACCCTAGCCACCGCCCCTAGCTAGAAAGAAGAACCTTTTCTTCCATCCCTTGACCTTGTTTGGAAAATCAACTAACACCTTCCTCCCATTGTGAAAGGGAAGGTAGAAGCAGAAGGGGCTAGAGACCCTCTTCATATGCACCAAGGTAGCAAAAGCCTCAAGGCTCAATGGGAAATTATGATGGTGGAATAAGCTAATTGATGAGGGCAGATTTGGCCCTCCATTGACATCATGACACATGGCATCTCAGAATAACTAGATGACATCCCAGCATCACCTAAGTGACAACTTGCCTTAGCCAAAATTATGGAGTCCCAACTGGCGACCTGCCTCCACTGCCGACCTGGCGACCTTCCTCTGCCGCCGACCTGGTGGAAGTCTACCTGGCGACCTCGTCCATAACTCAAGGAGGCTAGTAGCACCTCATCCATGGCCAACCTGTGGTACCTCATCAGTACCAACCAAAGTGACATCGACATGAGGAGCGACCTCCTTCGAAGGCTTGCCGACCTGATTGAGGTCCAGGTGGTGACTTGCAAGACATGCTCGCCAACCTATTCTACACGTATCTCGTTACTCTCGGGTCTCTCGGAAGTCAGCTCACACCGAATGTTCCGAAGGAAACTGAATAAGGCGCAAAGACCGATCTATGTGCATGACTACCTCTGAGGACTTTGTACCAATTAGGCACGTCTTCCCAGAGATCACAAACGTTGTGTGTGATGTCCGTGCCAAACAATGCCTATATAAAGGCCTTACCTCCAACCTTAGAAGGTACATGCGCAATTTAGTTCTCACAGCTCTCTAGGTCTCTCATATTTAGCTCTCTTAAAAAATCTTTGATTTGCTAACTTTAGCATCGGAGTGCCCACCCCGGGTAAAGCAACTCGGGCACTCTTACACTGTTTCCTTGTAGCTCATCACCATTCAGCTAGGCGTCAGAGACACCTCCTAGCTTGTCACCATTTAGCTAGGTGTCAGAGCCTCCTCCCAGCTTGTCACCATTCAGCTAGGCATTAGAGCCACCTCCCAACTCATCACCATTCAGCTAGGTGTTAGAGCCACCTCCCAACTCGTCACCATTCAGCTAGGCGTCAGAGCCACCTTCTAGGTAGGAACCATTCAGATAGGCATCTGAGTCACCTGCTAGCTAGGAGCTGACAAAAAGCGCATCATCACTGATTAACCCCACCCTAGTCCAGACCATGTTCGGCATGAGCTGACCTAAGGATATGTGGTAATGCCGCAAGACAACGATTATGAAGGGATGAAGGGGAAAACTGAGACCAGCAACCAACGTTTCCTTATATATACATAGCATCTTGGCCATGATCCCAGGGGTAGTAATCGACCCGTGCCTCAATCCAATTGAACTCACTGGGGATCTCATCTCTATGGCACAACTCGACTATCTACTCCCCAGATAGCTCGGTTGGGCCGGAAGAGTTTACCACTTCCCCGACTTCATGCCTCTTCCTCACCAAGGCACCTTCATAGTATACTCTATATGAGCCCTCCCTTGAGGAGTGTTGTGTGATTTATGCATAGTTAATTCAGGCAAGTGTACCTTAGTCAAATGTGTGTATAATGATGAGAAAAGTTTCGCTCCCACAGAGACTAGATCAGTACCAAATCAATTTTAAACTAACCTAAGTTGAACTCGTGAATCAATTGAAGAAAGAAAAAAACTGAAAGAATTAATGCAAATCCAAGAACATAATAAAAACTGAATTGATGGATGAATGCAGCTAGGGTTTAGATTTCATTGAATCAAGGCTACATAATTACCTATTTAATCCAACTCAAGACCAAAATTACCCTAAGGTATATTAAAGTTACTTGCATGTGATGGTGGATTTCCCTAAATTAATTAATAAGCTTTCTCAAGTCATATTAATCCTTTATTAATCCAATTCTACTATCAAATTTATAAGTGGTTGTCGAAAGGAAAAATAAACATTAATTTCTTTGGAAACCTCTAATTGTAGAAGGGGATTTGACTCACTAAGCTTCATTGATTCCCACACATGAGCTAATCATCTTTCGATATCATAGTCTATCATGCAATTTT